TGGTCCCTTACTGACTGATGGTTGCTGCTCTAGATTAGGATCAACATGACCACCTTTCATTTCTATTATAAAGAAATAATAAATAAATAAATAAATAGGGTATAAATTTTTGTATCTTACTTAAATTTTCCATTAGTTTAGATGCCATGTTCTTTAGTCCTACTTTCTGTAGTGATGTAATGAGAGAAGAGAACACACTGTTAGGATTAGGATGACACTCAAGTGTTGTTAGTAATGAAGAGAATATTTTATTAGCTCTATCATAAGGAGTGAGTCCTGCAGTACTTTCAACAGTAACATGTACCGCTTTAGGAATGAGATGAGATGAAAAGAGATGATTATTTAACTGAGAAATAACTGGAGCATTTCCTGCCAACAGATCAACAAGATCAGCTAGCATCTCTTTCATTGTAATGTATTCTGGTGACATTGATCCTTCCATTGGTTTGAATGATGATAGATCTTTCTTCCCCTCCTTATCTTGCAGTACTGTTGCTGTTGGATCATGTGGAGCTGATGGAGAATCTTGAGATTGTCTTGGCTTAGGTGCTGGTGGTGGAGATTTTTTAGTTATTGATGGTCGGTGTGGTTTAGGTGCTTTTGGAGGAGGCTGTGTAGTTAGTGATGGTCGATGTGGTTTAGGTGCAGTTGATGGAGGTTGTGTGGCTTGTGAAAGTGGTCGTGGTTTTTTTGCTGTTGTGAATGATTGAGATCGTCCACTTTGTGATAATGATCTTGATTTAGATGCTACTGGGGGTGGAGACTTTGGCATCTTTTGTGATGAACCTATTAATAGTAATTTAATAAAAATTGACTGTAAATATTCTAGTGCTTGCTGATTACTTTAGCTATTTTTAATACACTCTTTGAAACATTTATACCTTTTATTTTTCCAGTAGCTATTCTCATTTCATGTAGCAGTGTTGGATGTTCTTCAAATGCTTTTATAAGAAGAGACATTCCTTCATGATCATTAACAGCATTTCTAATCTTTATTATAGTATCAGCATCAAGCATTTGTAAAGACCCCTTCAGTTGTCCTTTGATCAATAACTCATGAAACTCTATCAATTCAGATACTTTTAGTATATCATCTGGTATATCCATTAATGCAATAGGAGAGAGCTGAG